ATACTTGATCATACTGTCAGCTTTGTGCCACGGTTTCTGTACTTAACAAAATCCTGACGGTTCATCCAATTTTTTTACTTATTATTACATAAAAATGTATAATACATATTACGATAATATAAATATTTAAACATATATAATATTAAATGTCATACTTGGTGATGCTGTCGACTTTATGCTATGGCTTTTCTACTTAACAGGACCCTGCAATTGCAGTTTATATTTTTTTTTTAAATTATCGCTTTATAATTATTTCATTGACAAAAAATAGTATGTTTAATAAAACGCTTTTCGACGATTGCATCGCCAAAATTTGAATAAGAAATTTTGCAGATAATCTTAAAAGTAAAATCTCTACCGTCCTTTTAACGAGCGGTCAACATGAGAGTAACATGCATGAAACTTTATAATTGCACTCTCCCTGGTCGAATACTAAAACATCCGGTTCTTGTTACGACATATGTACGTTTTGCTCGGTTATGTAACTGCGCTGGAAATTTATAGCCACTAAAACGCCTCGCCGCTAGCAAACGCCTTTCGTTATACCGCGAATCCCTTTAATTAAACGAGCGGCATTCATACGACCTTTTGCAATACGAATTATGGAGTTGTATAATCGTATAAAGATCTCGTTCATTTGCAAAATCATTAACTATATATAACCAATATATTATTTATGTTTATAATGAAATATATTAATGATCAATTTACAAGTTTTAATACAGCTCTTTAAAAATTCAATTACTTTCAGAGATGTATATTTATATATATTGTTAATTATATTAGTTGTCAAATAAATTTTGAGAAAAGAAATAGAAAGAAATAAAATTTATATATTGTAAATATTTTACATATTATAGAGAATCAGGAAAACATGAAGAAAATGTATTACATTATATAAAATATTGAGCTACTAGAGAGAAAAAGAGAAAATGCGATGAAAAGAGAGAAAAAAAGTGCTGTTTTTTCCAACAAAAATTTCAACAATTTCATCTATGCTTGAATAGAAGGGTTAATTACGTGGCATCTTAACGCGACCCTTCGCACGAGAACGCAGTGTTACGGACCATATTGTTTATTACTGACATCATTAACCCTTGGCGCTTAATGTAATGCGATGAAGTAGTTCACCACTAGCGCATGCATACCAGCTGACAAACGGACTTGGGCACGTTGGGCAGCAGGTGTCGTTAAGCGAGAATACGTAACTTGATCAGTAATTGCACTGCATAATGACCGCTCATATTATTATTATTATATATCACTAATTACGTGTTGCAAATTATTATAATATAAAAAAATAAAAAATTTAAGTAGACAATTAGAGTCCTATATATTTTTTTATATATTACATTTTTTTAACAATAGTACTAAAAATTAACTCGTGTAAAAAGATAATTTTTGGAAATCAAATTTTATAAATGCGATAAAATAACTATATAATCCTTATTTCTATCAAATGTTGAATAATTTTTTGTTCTACTTAAGTATAAAGTGATTAGAGATTCCTAAAAGTTAAAAACTCACAAGTATAATATAACCTCCAAATAGATTTTTATTTAATTTCAAAAATCAATTTCAAGTTAATAAAACAGCGGATCAGATGAAAGAAACCGCAAATATTTCGCTACAATCTGTTCATCAAGCGTGCCGTCTTCGAGCAAAGATATAAAAATAATTAAAAGAGCTCTCAAAGGATTAATTACAGCTTTCGTCGGACGGTTCGACGGACGATATCGAAAAGTGATCGATCGATATCGGCGCGCTAGGAAAATAGCCCGAAAAGGTAGTGCGGTCAATCTTTTATTCATGTCGCATCGACTGAAATCTCGCGCGACTCTTTCTGTCTTTCCCGCGTCCAAACTGCATCCAGATGTTCCACGCGTTCGCGATGAACGTGTCATTTTGCGTGATAACACGTGCGTGTTACGACACGCGTGACATGCGAGCGGTCAAAGCGATTCACGATGCTCCGTCGCGTATGCGATGAGATTGCATCGCAAAACATACTCGAGTCTTATTTGTACCAAAATTGCTTCTAAATTTTCGTATCGCAAAGAGGAAAATATATTAAAAATTGAAGTGATGTATTTTTAAAAATTATTTTTTAAAATAATAATAAAAGTAATTTATTATTCATTATTAAAAAATATATTAAATTTATTTCTCTCGTTAAAAATAAATTTTATAACGTCGTTACCATTATAATTATAAAAAAATATTTTAATGTCTTTGTAAAAAAAAAACAAAAACGCGTTATTTCCAAGCTCTAATTAGCTTTAGACTATTTCTGACAGATATATTTCTATAATAATATATACTTTATATAGGATCGATAACAATATATTTTTAAACGAAATTATTATATATGAAGCGTGAAAACCAGAAACTGGAAACAGTGTGAGTATGTGAAGCCGATAAACAATATGAACGGAAGAAGAGAAGATAACGAGCTATTCGTCGGCCATTGCGCTCGTATTCGGACTCGAGATATATCGGGAATTAATTTCACAGCCTATTCGTTTGTTTTCGTACGTGTTTGGACCACACATTTATTGTTTTTTCTATCGACACGTGTGATGCATATCTACAAAGTATTTTCAGCACATATTGCTGATTTCAGTTGAAATTAAAAGCAAGTTTTTATTATTAATTATATGTATACATGTATACATATATGTGTGTGTAACATAAATTATGTTATAAATATGTTGTAATATAAATTTTAATATAAGATAGATTATATTAATATTTAATATAATCATATTCCCCGATATATATATAAATTTTTTCAATTTTAAAAACAAATCTTCATCAAAATTTGTCTTTAAAATTTTTAAATAGAAGAATAATAAATACTTCACATTCACATCGTAGTTCTATTTATTGTTAGTAATCTTATATTTATGTGTCTATATCCAGTCGATCACATAAATCCATTCAATTAAATTTGTTTCACGAATTTTATTTAAAATGCAATAACAGAAAGCGCTAAGTTCGTATGTCGAAAAAATATTATAAGCTCAATTAAATTCTTTATAAGCTCGAAAATTTATATCTTTCAAATTTTTAAATAAAAGAATTATAAATACTTCACCATCACATCGTGGTTCTATTTATTGTTAGTAATCTTATATTTATGTATCTATATCCAGTCGATCACATAAATCCATTCAATTAAATTTGTTTCATGAATTTTATTTAAAATGCAATAACAGAAAGCGCTAAGTTTGTGTGTCGAAAAAATATTATAAGCTCAATTAAATTTTTTATAAGGATTAATAGGAGAAAAAATGAGAAAAAAAGGAGAAAAAAGATATAATAATATGCGACAGAAGGAAAGATTAAAACGATAAATTGCAAATTGATATTGAAGCAGTGTAGATATATATTATACACACACTATTTTTTATAAAGAACTATAATGAAAGAATGGAGAAAGTTGGGATTCTCCAAACTTTGTAATTTTGCTTCTACGTAGTGCGGCTTTTTACGCATCGATGCACCGTTGCGTCGTCTCGCCGCCACTCGTTATCCGCGAATTATTTATTCTACGCTCGTCAATATTGAATCTACCTCTATAATTGAAACATCCTGCTCGTAATTCGCTTCAACGCGCGCGCCGCTCGTAATCGTCGCGAATCCGCTTAATTTCATCAAAATCGGCAGATTAAACCGACAGGGAATCGCGCATCTCCCAAAAGCGGCGTCGCTAATTTCTCGCGATTTATAAATATGTGCGCAGTGCACCTGGGATTCTTTCGAAATTTATTCGAGATAATGTCACTTTGGGGGATTTAATATATTATCACAGATAATTATATCCTTCCTTAAAATTATATCAATACTTTTACACGCAATTTACATCAAATATATGTATTATCCTGCAATTAGATAGAAAAGTTTTATTTTATGTACTAAAGAGAAAGGAAGCCGAATCTGCATATATTTATTTATAAAAAGAATTTTCTTTCCATCTAGTAGAATTCAATTTTTAAAATTTAAAGTTGACTTCTTTCCAGTGACAATGAATATAAGAAAACCGTAATACAAAGACGAAGTATTCATGCATACAAAAAAGTATTCTCTTATATAAACTGTAATACGATACCTTGCACCGTAAGAAAAGTATCTAACGATTCAGATATTGAATGAAATATCTATAGTAAATATACATTTCGAAGAAGAAAAACTTCTCGCTCGATCGACGAGTGATCGAGAATATCTTGAGATTCCGTGCGGAAGATCTATTTCTATCTTGGTGACATTTTCCATAAATAACCGCCGATGTCTATCTTTGAAGTCAGTCGAGCGAAACCTACGCAATATATTTCTAGCAAAATATCGCGCCGGATATTTTAGAAGATCTGTCAAGCAGATACTTCTGTTCCTATTGCTTGCAAAGTTGAAAATTTAATCGAGTGCCAGCAAAGTAATACATACGGATTTGGGTCATTCTTTTCACCAAAGACCATCGCTTTGCCGGGAGAATGCAGATAAATAATGCAAAATGATTTTTAGAACGGCTCTGGAATTTTCTTTTGAATGTAATTTACAGCTTACGTTTTACAGTAACTTTAAAACGGAATTATATAACAGACATTCAGAAGATAGAGAATGCGAAATACTATGTTTTATAAATACTATATTCGATTATTTAATAAAATCTAGGGCACTATATATATGTATCACATATATGCATAATATTCTATATTACATAGCATAAATTACAAAGAAAAAAACAGTTACAAAAATGCACGTAGCATATATATGTATATAAAAAAGGTGACACTTGTGACAGATCTGTAAATTACATTCGTCTTTAATTTTGTTATTTTTTATAATATATATATATATTGTTTTTTTCGTGCATTTGACCAAAATGCAGAGCATAAATGATTAATGATTTACTTACATACATACACATATCGATACTTATAATTTGTAACTATTATATATTATTCATAATAACCAATTGTTAAATAAAATTCTTGTTTTAGGTGACTTGGCTCAAACTCGGAAAAGACAAACAACTACTAACAGTGGGTCGAGTCACTTACTCTATAGACAATCGTTTTGTTGTCTTAAACGGTCCTGATTGGAATCTTTTAATCAAGAACGTCAAACAGGAAGATGCAGGCCTTTATGAGTGTCAGGTAATGCTCGCTACTATTTACATTTATTATAATGCATCCAGGGAAATATGCCATTTCAGAACATTGATATCGTATTAATGAAAAAAGTGATAGTGCTGCATTATATAATATGTATGCCTTTATGTCGCAAAATATGTATGACCATTCTTTGAAAAATCAGGTATGCTTAATATGCATAATCATATTTCTTTATAAATCAATTATATTGTATAATTATATTTGCCTAAAATCAATTTAAACTTTAATATACATCTTAAAATAATTTAACATAAATCTCTTAATCTTAAATACATTAAAATGTTAATAATTCTTAAAATTATGAAAATTTTATCCAAAAATTATATAATATAATTTAGCAAATCTTTCTATTATTATCTATTATTTTTAGCAATTTTTATCACATAATATTCTTCAAATAAATTTATTTTGCAATTTTTTTACAATTCGTAACACCATGCATATTAATTTATTAATTCAATTTATTAATTTAAGTTTAATTTAAGATTAATTCAGATTAATTTATTAATTTAAGTTTAGTAATTACTTTCATTTTGAAAATTCTATAAGTTTGAAAACTTTAAAGATCTTAAAATGTATCTCTCTTAAATTACTATTAAACGTAATTATGTAATAATATATTTTTACAATATGTTAAAATGTTGATTATTAGATTTGAGAATTTCAAATATAGAGCTCGGAAAAAGTAGATATTTATTTTCATAAAGATATCTATTTTTAAATATCAGCACAAGTTATTTTTACAAATATCGTAAGAATAACTCGGTGTCGATTCTTTTTTAACATATACTTCTGGACAAATTTTTTCATCCATTAAAAAATAACAAGTTAAGAGGACAATCATTCAACATATTGACATAGTTTTTACTGGCTGCATCAAATAACTGATGTTTATTCGGCTCAACTAATAGTAACAATCAATTGCGGTCAGACAGTAGTAATATTCTACATGTATGACTAGTAAACCAGTATTTGTACGATGCCGGCGTTAAATATCTCTTTCGACAATATAATTTATAATCAAAATATAATACAATTATGCAATAAACTGTATTATTATTTTCCATGTTTACTATCATATATTATCGTAAAAATCATATCAAAATATTTAATAAATTAAATAACAATATAAAAACTAAATATCAATCATAATAAACCAGAAAGAAAATTAAGAAATATCTCGAGATTAAAATTATAATAAAATTAAAAAAAACATGAAATATTGATTCTATTAAATTATTAAATTTATTTAATAATTTCATAATTTCATAATTAAAATAAAGATAATTAAGATGAAAAATTTAATAAATAAGAAAAAATTTATTTAATAATTTCTGATTTATTAAATTATTTTCTCTTAATTATCAATATAACTATTTACTTGTTTTTAAAATGCAATATACTCTGTAAATTATAGTTTGTATATTTTGTGATGTTCTAATAATGTAGATACAAACGGTACCAGAGCAGCAACAATTCGTACGGCTAAACATCACAGAGGCGTATTCTGTGATACCAGGTGGTCCGGACCTCCATGTAAAACAAGGCTCTAGTCTACGTTTGGAATGCCAGCTTATGGCAGCCGCGGAATCGCCCAGCTACGTATTCTGGTACCGCGAAACACGTATGATAAACTATGATAATGAACCTGGGGTTAGATTCGAGATGAGGAGGAACGGCTCGGTACTCATCGTGGAGAAGGTGAAACTTTCCCATGGCGCTAATTACACATGTTCGCCGAATAATGCCAGACCAGCTCACATCATGTTACACGTCATCGAAGGTAAGCAATTGTTGAGCGCGGATACAGCGTCACAAATCAATTCTCTCGTTCCGAATATTCAAACAATTTCATCCGATCAGTTGGATCGGATCAGCTGGCTATTCGGTATACATAACAGTAATGATGTGTAATGCATTCGATGTTAAACATACACATAAATATGTACATATATATACACACATGCAGCTTTTATTACAGTTTAATATTTTTAACAATAAACATGAACAAATATGAGGATTATTTTTTTAGATTTCTAATCAATTTTATGAGCACGCATAATCTAATTACATTTTATAATTAAAATTTAAATTATGTAAAGATGTGTACGCATTTATATTTATATGATTTAGTATGACATGTACATCGACAATGCTCTATCATTTTACGCTCCGCCGATTTTATTGCATCCGCTTTCCATCGGTCCAGCCTTTCAAAAAATATTTTTCATTGATCATCGGAATTGCCGATCACTAGCTGCCTTTCTCTCCTCGAACCATTAAGGAGACGTTTATTTATGCTTCACGTATATGCACGAAATCTGGATCCGGTAAAAACAGACATTGTGTCAGAGTATAGGGCGAGTTTTATGGGCCGTAAAATTCGCAAACCGTCCTCAATCTCGAAGGATGCCTGTATATAGGATGGCCGGTCGCCCATTTTTTTTTTAGTCAACAGGGAGAGTTAACCTACTTCGGCTATTCAATCCCGCTCGGGATCAATGGACGACCATTCAAAGTTTTTCATGTATTGGAAAGGAAATATATACAAACATTTACATTGTAAAAATATAGCGTACAATTTTTTGTACACACAGTTTACAATAAATAATTTGTAACGTAATCAAATAAGAAACTGTGCCTTAAATTCTTATTTATTTATAAATTAAATATTTGCTCTAAGAATCAATTTAATTCTATATTATCTGCAATTATAAACGTGTATTTCAATTGTTAACTTTTGCTTAATATATTCTCAGAAATCTTCACTGATGTTTATAAGACATTTCTATATTAAAGTATTATCGTTAAATTTAATATTAAAATTAATGTCACAACAAATTAGTGACGTTATCAAAATTTGACGAAAAATAAATCCGCATGTCAAATTGTTTTTCTCTCTTGCTCGAATTTTATCTCATTAAATTTTTTGTACACACAGTTTACAAAATAATTTGTAACGTAATCGGCAAATAAGAAACTGTGCCTTAAATTCTTATTTATTTATAAATTAAATATTTGCTCTAAGAATCAATTTAATTCTATATTATCTGCAATTATAAACGTGTATTTCAATTGTTAACTTTTGCTTAATATATTCTCAGAAATCTTCACTGATGTTTATAAGACATTTCTATATTAAAGTATTATCGTTAAATTTAATATTAAAATTAATATCACAACAAAATTAGTGACGTTATCAAAATTTGACGAAAAATAAATTCGCATGTCAAATTGTTTTTCTCTCTTGAATTTTATCTCATTAAACAATCTTTATCTATTTTCATTTATATATTTCAGAGGAAGAAAAACCGGCGGCGATGCACGGGGATGATCAACGAAATTTTACAGCGACTACGTGGAGCAACACCATATTGATTCTTATGGCTCTCTTCACTATTCCAGATGTAAGACGGTGCTTTCAAAGCTTCATCTGTCATGCCACGTGATTAGCATAAACCGCACTATTTTCGCGAAATACCGCAGTATTCGCTAACCGCATGCAAACAAGCTCGCGCGAAACAAGCTCGAACACCTCGAGGTTCTTTTCGGCAGCTCAAAATGCCTCGTTACATTAGCGTATCAAAAATTATCCTGACATACATGTCTTGCTTCTCACGCGCTAAAGTTATTTCATTCTGACGATGAAATTCAAACGTCGCGCCGGGGATGCGACAGGTTCCGCGCGAGATCAAAGAAAAATCTATTTGCAAGTAAACTTAAAGCGAGAGATTCAACTGCAGACAGGTTTTCCGAGAGTCCCCGTATCCCCGGTGATGAAATTCAAGAAGGAAGACTACGAACTTTCACGTAACCATGTAACTTTCGTTTAAAGAAACGTCTTATCCAAGTGACACTACTTGATAGAAACTCCGCTTGAACTCGTAACGAGTGAATAATATCCGCGGAATGAGATTTGGTCGTCTTTCGACGTGGATGAATTTACTCGCGAGCCAAGTTGCGAGAACCAGAGTCCTCTCTATATGTTGTTGAATATTATATAAATTCTTGAAAATCATTTTTTTTTTTTCATGAAAACTTGTCGTTTATATTTAGATCAAAGTGTGTGTAAAAATTTAATTCATTAGCCAAAATATATATATATATATATATATATATATATATATATATATATATATACGCGCAAATTCCATTTCTTTTTAAGTAAAAACTTATCAATCTTTTCTGCATTTCTTAAATGGAAAATATGTAGAGAGACAATGCAATATATTAATTAAAAAATTAATATTTTTATGAATATAGTAATAATGAAATAATATTAACTTAATGTCTCTAGCAATGTATATCCTTGTAAAGGAGAATTCTGAAATTTCAAACGTAAAATTTAAAATTTTCTCAGAGATCTTCACGTTTTGTATTACATTCGTGAAATATACTACGTCTTCGCGAGTGAATCCAACGTTGAAATCTTGTCGCGAGACAAGCAACACTTCGTCATCAGAATCAGGTATTATTTACTCCTTATAACTTTCCAAGTTTCTAACAAGTAGTTTGATGCAAATTGGACATTGAGTTCTGTAAACAAAAGTTGTAGTTCCGTTCTCGTGGTTGTTACTAATATTGATGATATAATTATTTCACAATATAGGATTGTCTTATTATAAATATTACATAACATAAGATGATAAAGATTGTTTTATTTCAGATTTTAAGTGATGTTTAAAACAAAAAAGTATTTAAAAATTTATTAAAACCTATACAATTATATTGAAAAATTACAATTGAAATTACGTCCATGAATAAACTGCCAGATATTTAAATTAATCATCGATAGCGAAGGAATTTTTATCAGCGCAATCTTTACTGCCAAAATTGGATTCTTTATAACAATGTTTTTGTATTTGTTACATATATATTATAATATTATCAATCAAGTTACTTTATTTTTTATATACGCAATACATTATACAATGACTATACGAAATTATAAAGTGTAATAATTATCGAAATCTTCTAATTATTTTTGAGAAATTTAAAGTAATATTCTAAACTATAAAAAATGCAATAATTCAAGTATAGTAATAACAATTTAACTGCCGTACAATATTTCTGATAAAAATTCATAAAAATTAAATGGTTATTATCATTTTATTAATATAAGAAGAAAAACTAATCTAATGAAATTATAAGAATGTGCAAAAGTTAAAATAATATTGTGAAAAGAATTAACAAGAATAAATAATGTAAAAAAAATATGAATAGTTATAATAATACACATATATACGTAATATATGTATTAACATTTGACATTTTCTAATTAGTAAGTACTTTAGAAACATAATGTTGTGCAAATAAAGGATATGTCTATGTGATATGTCATATATATATACATATATTGATTTCATATAATTATCTTACAATTATAAGAATCTGAAAGGAAAATATTTGTAACGTGTATAATTAAAAACTTATTAGATAAATTATTCAGATTAATAATATGTAAAAGTTATGCAACTGTACCGAATTTTAATATAATTATATTATTATACTTTTAATACAGGCCATAAGACTAATATTATAATCGTATATTGATACTTTATACTTTATTGGTGTGATTATATGTATATGCATGTATCTGCGATATATTTCAGAAAAACATTTTCAACTTTACTGACTTTGTACATATTAAATTAAGACGTACATTTATTTAAAATGGCTTAATAAAAACGCTTCATATGTCAAATTATAAAAATTTATAAAAAATTACTACTTTTAATACTTACGATTTTTGGGTTATGTGAATAATAAATAAAGTATTATAAATGTACATTTATTGCAGAGTTACGTCATTATTAAAAATTATTTAAAGCATTAATATATTAAAAAATTTACAATGAATATAAATTCAAATATTTTAATAACTAAAATAGAGAGTAAATATAGATTTATTTAAAATATAATTTTTATTTAAATTTGTATGTAAAAAATTTCATGAAAGTTTTATAAATGAATTATACTATTTTATTGCAATTAAATAAAAATATGCATAAAATTAATAATAGTAATTTAAAAAACCCATTGAAAAAGATATATTCTTAATATTTCATAAAAAGAAATAAGTGAAAAAAATAACTAACATTAATTAAAATTAGCTTTAAGAAATATAACTTGTATAAGAAAAAAAAGGAAAAAATAGAACTTTGTTTTGTCCGTTTCTTAAAGTTAATTAAACAATGGCATAGTAATTTCCAAGAGAATGGCAATCACTTAAACAATCTAACGCTCAGACAAAGTAATTCAACTTAAAATACCCCGAATGCAATTTATCGGTAAATTCCAACGAGCGCGTCTACGAGTGAAAGCAAATTTAGAACTGCGATGATTGAAGGGAAAACTCCAAGCGGTTTTCTCATTTGTCAAATCGCAGTTGTCCGCGTAAATCCGAACATTACAACAAAATTATCTCAACAAAAAAAGCCGTTAGATTGTATTAAGTATAGAACTTCATTTGTATATATTTTGTACATTTGCCAAATAAATATTTATAAATATTTATAAATAAATATTTTTAAAGAATTATCACTTAATAATAAATCAACTAATACTTTTTAACTGTAATAATTTACATATAATTTGCGTATTATTAAAAAGTTAATGATTAGATTATATATATATATTATAATGCATCGTCGTGATGTATTTTAGATCTAGTATCTGTGCTTTAATTACTCGTTGATTTATAATTATATATTATAACACGCAATTACATCGCTGAAGACTCATTGAATACAGATTTATTTGATTTACGCCAGAATTTGCAGTTAATTTCACTAATTAAGGATATATCATGCGTGCATAAAGCGTTAGCGTAATTACAGTCACATGACAATTACATTTTCGACTTATGTAAGTTCCGCAGTTTCATCAACCGCGATTTTATCCTCAACGAGAGTCGCTAAATATGTCAAACTGTCATATCTGTTTTAATATCGCGATACAATATCACTTAATCTCTGTAGAGTCCGCTTACGAGATGAACCATCGCATGTCATAATGATACAAAACAAGACATCTCATGCCAAGCGAAATAATATACGTAATTCTCTCCGCCTCGAGTATGATTGGTGTACAATGAAGCCATTCGCAGGATTGAACACGCTCTATCACATAGAGTGTGTAATAATTATCGATCAACACCACAAGATGTGATTTGTATACAACGTTAATAGTTTCGAGCACACTTGATTGGAGATACGAGAGTTTGTGAGCGTTTCCGTTATAATTTCAATATTTGCAAGTTGCATGACATTTGATTCTCTTCGATTCTGTTGTACGTCAATTATTAAAAATTGAGTTTCAATCGTGTAACATATTGAATATATATACACAGCTTCGATTACTAATTGCGGAGAATCTCAAGTTTCGGTAAACATGTAAAACTACAACGAGATACCTTCATTCAACGTATAAAATGAAATCTTTAAATTCACAGAAGTTAAGTAATCGTTAACAGCTGAACTGCGATGTCAATTCCATAAATAATTATACATATATTTTCATAAATAATTCGTATTTCTCTTCTTGTCAGATTAATTCGCTCAATTATATTAAATCCGAGAATCTATCCACAGCATTCATATTTAATAGCAGCCAATAGATAAGAGATGCAGGATTAAGAGAAAATGGATATATCCAATACAGTACTGATTAAATTAATCTTTTAAATCTATTTGCAGTTCTTTTTGTAACAATGACATAAATTTATTAGCAGTTGGTAACTGCTGGTATAATATTAATGACCTGCGCGATGAAAATATATGTCAAAAAAACGTCATGTAAAAATTGCCTTATTTTTCGCGTAATTAATTCGGAAAGAGCGAACATAATTTTCAACGATTCGGCAAAAAGCCATAGTTGCAGAAAATACTAATCGTCGACTCAGTCATTCGATAAGTCTCGGTCGTACTGTGCGCAAATCGTCGAGAGATTTCAGAAAATTAAATTCTCATTTAAAACGTCCCCAGCGAGCGAGTGACTCGAGAACAGTTTGTCTTTTAGATCTCGTTGATAGCAGTTTTCTTTGGTACTATAGTATATACGCAGCTATTTTCTTATTTAAATTAACGACTTTAATTACCGGAGCATCCAATCGCAAGATAACACTATTGTTTAACATAAAAGACCTTTGCAATTGATCTCTTTCTCCCTCCTTTCTTTTTTCTATAATTAAGTCTACAATATGCACATGATATGAATCGATGTATTAGTCGATAGAAAAAAAATATTATTTTACAATAAAAATTTATTGAAATACATCCGCGTTATATGACTACAAAAGAATGCAGATTATTTCCTAAGAATTTTTCAAACTACTTTATAATGAAATTTTTGTGCTAGAGATTTGATATGTATATATGTATAGATATAATATATAAATAAAATATCTCTAAAAAATGCATCGAAAATGTAAAGTATTTACCGAATAATAAGTATGTATATATATGTATAAGTATGTATATATATATATAAAAAAGTATTGATTCTTTAAAGATCCTGCCTTTTAATACGTTATTTGGGAAATATATTTTATTATTTGCATGAGAAGAGCTCATTTGTGTTAAAATCAAAGTAAAACTAATATACAAAATAATAATAATAATAATACAATTATATAATGCAGCACTAGCTTATTTAAAGAGAAATTAAGAGAAGAAGATATATCAAGTTTATTCGAGGGGAATCTATTCTTTCAGGAAATATTTATCTTTCAAATTTCTACCAACAAAAGCACTTACTGCGTTTTGCATTGAAAATAAGGATAATAGATAAAAATGCTTTTCATACCAGCGCTGCATTTTCCAAGTTGTGAAACACACAAAGCAGATATCTTTATTCTTTTCAATTACCCAACGATAATTCCGACTGATCTTTCCGACCGTTTTTCCCCCTATTTGAAAACACACGAAGGTGTTTCTTTCTATTTACTTAGCCCTAAATATTATATTTAGCTCAAAATAAACATCCTTTTCACCAAAAAATAATAAATAATATTGTCATTAAAATAGAAGTACAATTTACAAATAGTAAATTATTAAATTATTGATCAATTATCAATAATAAA